TTTGGTCGGAGGTGCATACGCAGTGGCGCCGGCTAGGAAATAGAGCGCAACCGAGATAGTCCGGAGGACTTGCACCAACTGGCCATGTTTTTCTCGACCGGACGGGTGTTCTGTAGCCAGACCCGTCGTAGCCAGCGATTTGGCTTGGGCCGTCATTTTGACTCGGCGCGCAATGACGCGGACCTCGTCTGCAGCGATGAGTGCCAAGCTTTCGGGTCGAGATCCGGGGAAGCGATGCAAGGGAGGCGTCGGTCAGCACAGCGGAGGGGCAAAAACGAGATTGCGAAACTCAAGGTCGAGGAGAGCGGTCAGATCAGACGGGCGGATGGTGGACCGGGTTTTGTTGTAGGTCGAGTTAAATGCAGTGGTTTGGTTGACCACATGGAACCCAAGGTAGGGAGCTACCCAGCCACAGGGACAGGCACCGACGGCGCAAGCTGAGCTGGTGCACCACTGCTGCAGGGTCGATGACCGACACTTCCGGTGAGATGGAAACCAACTACCGTGTATGCACAAGTACCATGTACGAATACAAAGAGACAAAGAGGCAAAGACCCGGGCAGCCCGTCACTATTTCACCAACGGGCACACACAACCACAGCCTTGCAGAAAAGGGGAAAAAAAAAAAGCCCAACGGTTTTAAACCTCGTGTGGCGCAGCTACTAATGACGGCATCGTCATTTAGCCCGGAAGGGAACCAAAGACTCGGGGACAATGTGAGGTTGATCAGGTGGGCATTTTCCAGTCGGTCGGTGACGGGATTGACCAACTTGCGTGATGGAGAACAATACATGTGCTCCATTGCTGATTGCTGCTGTCAAGCTGCTGAGTGTGCGGATATCCCCTGCAGCAAGCCCCACCACCATGATGCCAACCACTGCGAGCAGCCTGTCATGAGCTTGACTTGCTCCAGTCCCGGACCCTGCAAGGCGGGCAGTCGGAGCTGCTCGCTTTCCGTGCGCCGTGATTGGGTCTAGAGCTGCCTACGTGGGTACTGTCGGCTCAGATCACAAGGGCAGAACTCGGTTGCTCGTCACTGGAAATCAGATCCACCAAACAACCCCATCTTGAACCCGCGAGCTTCGGAGGTATTGCCGCCAAAAAAAAGACGGAACCTGACCCAGAGCTTCAACACCACGCCGACACCGCAACCGGAGAGAACAACCGTCACCAGCGCCATGTCGGGATGCCAGGTTCATTTCTGGCTCAAAACCGCCGCTCCCGTTTTGTCACCGCCATGACCTTGAAATACCCCACCATGGTCGCCCTCAGAGGCAGTTGTTGGAGGCTTGGAGGAAGAAGCACAGCTGGGGGATACCGGCTGTTCTCCGTCTCGGCCGCCCATAGGAAGATCCTCGATGTCGCCGTCCTCCCCGACCGAACCGTCCCCCATTACCAACAGACAAAAACCTCGTCGCTGCTCTCGCTACACTGGCCACAACCGCCGCAGAACATCCTGCTGATGCCCAAACTGCATGCACCCCGAGTCACGACAAGAGCCATCGAGTTTGCTAAGCACATATACAACAACTACCCGGGGCTCAACCTCATTTTTGAGAGCCACATCGCCAACGACATCCACGAAACACTGCCGTTTCCCATCTACACAACCGATCCGAACGATGCCCCGGCGCTGTTTGCGAAAAAGATCGATCTCGTCACGACTATGGGTGGCGACGGAACAATCCTACGCGCGGCGAGCCTGTTCTCCATGCACAATAGCGTGCCGCCGATACTCTCATTCAGCATGGGCACCCTCGGCTTCCTGGGTGAGTGGAAGTTCAGCGAATACAAGCGTGCTTGGAGGGAATGCTACATGAGCGGCTGCTCCGTGGCGATCGAAGATCTCGGCGACCAGCACACCAGCGCCGCCGTACCAGGCACGCAACCTGGCGCCGCGTCCAGCTTCGTCCCCCTCCCCGGCTGGGACAGCGTCCGTGGCAACGGCCAATGCATGGGCCTGAGCCGCACCTCCAAAGTCCTTCTCCGAAACCGGCTCCGGGTCGGCATCTACGACAGCGAAGGCCGTAACATCAACGAACAGCTCCTGCCCACCACGGTCGCCGAGCCCGACCTCGGTACCAGTAGCAGCGGGGGCGGTGGCAGCACCGGCACCAACCCCACAACCAACCCGCCCCACCTCCACGCCATCAACGAGGTGTCGATCGACCGCGGCTCGCACCCGCACCTGGCCATCATCGACATCTACGTCAACGGGCACTTCCTCACCGAGGCAGTAGCCGACGGCATCCTCATCAGCACACCGACAGGCTCCACGGCCTACTCGCTCAGCGCGGGCGGCTCCATCGTGCACCCGCTGGTCAAGTCGCTGCTCATCACCCCGATTAGCCCGCGCAGCCTGAGCTTCCGGCCGCTCGTCCTGCCGCTGCACACCAAGGTGGTGCTGAAGCTGAGCAAGCGCAACCGCGGCCGCGAGCTGCCCGTCAGCATCGACGGCAAGCGGCGCGTCGGCGTCACCATCGGCATGGAGGTGCGCGTCGAGGGCGAGCGCCTCGAGAAGGGCCGCGAGGGCTGGCGCGGCGGCGTGCCCTGCGTGATTCGCGCGTCGTCGACGAGGGGGGCCGAGGCGGATGGCATTGCCGAGGACGATGATTCGTGGGTGGGCGGGCTGAATGGGCTGCTGAAGTTTAACTATCCCTTTGGGGAGCCGCCTGAGGAGCCGTAGGAGGGGATGGAGGTGTTTTTGCTTGACATGGGCTGGATTGGTATAGAGAATATGATACCCTGAAATAAATTTTGTATACGGAGGCCGGTGTCTCTGCTGGTTTGGTGGGTATTGAGATGACTTTGCCGACTCCGATCTGGGCCTTGTCCTAAGCCATCCAGAACTACAGCCAACGCTTTCTAACCCGCCAGTATAAGCCGATCTGAGCCAAACCCACACATCCCCAAGGCGCCTCATGTAGGAAGCTGCGTGCGGTCTTGTTACATGACCAAAGCCCAGTACCGACTTCACTTCCCGGAGAGAAAACACAAAACGACGCAACGATTCAGCAAAGGGCACAAATTCCGCATTTCAAAAGCCATTATCCATTCATCAAACCTCATTAATTCCTACTACATACAACCAGCGGCCCCAATATAGGCATACATGTCACCTCATCAAAACCCCCCCTTCCCTTCACAGCGCCGCAACAGCACCCAAAAGCATCATGCCAAAGCTGCCGACAGCACCCACCACGGCCGCGCCCGCCGTCTGGATCGACGACGTCGCCGGCGGCGGGGTATCATCATCATCACCACCAGTCGGCGAGGGGATGGCGCTGCCCGTCGGGCCGGGCGTGACCATGGAGCCGCCCGACGAGGCCGTCTCGGTCGGCTCATCATCGTCGTCGTCGTCACCATCGCCCTCGCCGTCGTCGTCGCCGCCGTCACCGCCACCGGGGGTCTCGGTCTCGGTCGGCTCCGGCTCGGAGGGGGCGGAGGTGGTGACGGTGGCCAGGGTGGTGGTGGCAGGGGGAGGGGGCGCCTCGCTGCTGCTGTCGTCGCCGCCGTCGTCGCTGTCGCCGTTACCGACGTCGGCGCAGAATTTCTCCGTGGCGGGGAGGACCTTGTCTGTGGTCGGGGGGGAGAGGTGTTATTGGGGTTGTGCACTCGTTTATTTTGAGTGCGATGGAGAGAGGGTGAGGGGAGAGAAAAGGGAAGAAAAAGGGGGAGTGGTGGTTAAGGGCTGGGAAGGAGGAACGCACTCAAGGCGGTATCAAGGCCGCACTTGTCCACCACGCAGGGGGTGGCGGCCTGCTTGATGGCTTCCATGTTCTTGCACACGCAGGCGAAGTCGGTCGCCTCGCACGAGGTCGTGCCGATGCCGTCGATGATGCAGGGCAGGGAACACTCGGGGAAGATGGAGATGTCCTGGGCCGAGGCCGACGAGGCGGCGGCCAGGGCAAGGGCGACAGTGCTGTACTTCATCGTGGCGGTTTGGAGATGCGAAAAGGGCAAAGAGTTTGAGACAACGAGCGTCTGGTTATTAACCTGTTCTGGTCACGTAACGAGTGTGATGGGGAGAGAAGAGGGAGGACAAGGCGAGTCTAAGGACGGCGGACGGTCTTTTATACGGCGAGGTCTTGCCTTACATCACAGCCAAGAATCCGCTTTCCCGTGTCATGGCAGACCAGACGAACACGATCCAGCTCGGCGCTGGGGATGGGTGGAGACACACTATCCAACATTCCGTGAAGATGTTGGGAGATGGGCGCATGAAAGTCCTTCATTGGCCGGTCGGGATAAACCCGATGGGAGGCGAGAAGGTTCCCTGTTCCTGAATGCAACTTCCCCCAGATTGAGCGCCACAGGGACCGTCAGCCAAGTCGAAGGATCGAATCCGGGGAAGTGGGACGTTGCATATGATCGTGGGAAGGGGAACCTCGGCCCCGATACGCGGTGTGGCTGTCTGAGTTTTTAACGACTGCCCGAAACAGTTGTCCTCCCCGACCTTTCAGCTGATTGTGTAGCTCGAAAGCGTACCTCCGGCTCCTCAAGCTGACACAGAGGAAGTCCTATTTTGAGATTAATTCTTCTGTCTGCTACAGTGGCGTGGTGGGATCTGCCCGTGTGGACAGGATGACCCTAGTTTGGGTTGGTCTGTTGGTTTGGTCGCTAAGATTGTTTATGCTCCGATATTGTCCACCAACAAGGCCGCGTATCCGGCCGACCCCCCTCATAGAAGCACATGAAGCGATGTTTGTGACCGGTCTGCCGGTCTGCCGGTCTGCTGGTCTGCCGGTGTCCCTGTTCCATGACTTGGTTGGTACATTCACGGAATGATAAAAAGAACCAAGAGATTGAACTCAACCATCACCAATCAATACCATCCTGACCACCCCCTTTCCACACCCGCGCATCAATTCGTCAACAAAACATGCTCCCATCAGAAGCACGGCTAGGTAAGGTACTCAAGGAGACGAAGAAGGTCGAATGAAGCGGCAACCTCCCCCCTCCCTCCTTCCTTCCCCTGACATGCAAAGCGGGCCGTGAACCCCAAATCCAGCTAGCGTCCCGATGACTGACAGGGGCTCAGGCCAATTTTGTGGGGAAACAGTCCCCCTGCACCCTGCACCCTCCCCCATCTGTCTCCCCGCATCCACTTCCTGCCTTTCCTGTCCTTGGACATCACCCCAACTGCAGCTGCCCGATGCCGAGGCCGACCACCAAGGCGATGCCAAGAGACATATGATTGTGCTGGCGCTCTAATGTTTGCTTGTGTCTACGGTTTCGTGTTGGTTAGGTTATTTGCCTTAGTTTGGCCCTCAGCTTCATCACTGGCATTGATGCGAGGTGCTGTTAGGTACATGAATGAGAAGACAGTGATAAACCTTTCTCGTTGACTATCCCTAATTATCTTGAGAACACGCCTTATTTAACATTATCGAACCATGTCAAAGTCCAAGAAGCCCTTTGAGATTGGAGCACGACACAGCAACTAAGAAACAAGGAGAGAGAAAAGTGATACAAAAAAATGGAGTGCCAATGCCAGCGCAAGTGCCAGCGCAAGTGCCAGTGCCAGGGACGGGATATGTATTCACTTACGCCCTTGTGCTGTGTTTCCCCTTGCTTTTTCCTCCTCTATTTTTCTTATTTTGTCCACAGCAGTGCGGTGTTTTAGATACCCTTGAAACCAGAAACACTGAACCAAACCTCACGCGGCAGGCTCAGACAAGCACCCACGAAATCACACGAAATCATGTTGATTGCTGGACTGAACTGTTAGCCTTTGTGTAGTAGCTGGGGGAACGAGGACTTTCGTGACAATTTTGACACTTGCCACTAGGCTACCGGCACTCCTGGTTTTGTTGGAATTGGCTTGCCGGGCTGGTAATTATCAGGTCCGGGTTGTTTCAAGTCGTATTGGCCACCCAAGTGATGACAGTGCCATGGCGGTGTCAAAGAGGGAGCCCGGACTGGTGAGCCCGCATGTCAGAGCAGGATAGGGTTCCCTAACCGGGTCACATACCCTGGGCCTGCTCACTGAGAAGACTCGAAGGGTGTGTATACTCACTACTCACAGCATTTGTTGGGACTTCCAGGCGAGTGTTTTGATGCTTTTGAGCCGATTGTTCAAGGTAGAAGACCACTGGTCTCCTAGGAGGTCCATCATATGTATACAAGGCTCAAACAAGACTACTCCAAAGACCATCCTTAACCATGGTCCTTCCCCAACATCGGACATCCCTCCCTTACCATTGAAGCCAATCAACCCGATGATGCAAGAAGAGGCCCTGTTCGACTCCATGCCCAGCCATCCGGCATGTTAAATACCATGATCCCTTAGTCACTGCACTTGAGCACAAGCCTACAAGGCATTCCTGAGTCAATAACAGAAAGCTGATCGCTGTGAGAGGCATATAAGAACCCGTGGCACAGCAAACCACACACAACACAATGAAGAAGGGCGAGGGTGAGACCGCTGGAACATGTGCTCAGGGTCACAACCCGAACATTCTTCTCCCCCCCTGACTAGGATGTTTGCTGTGCATTACTCGTCCAACCTCTCACAGATTCCGTCTCAACTCAGTCAAGGCGACACACAGTGAACCAGCCCTCTTCTATATACGGTCTTGGGAGGACCACAGCAGCACAGCAAGCAACCATTTCAAAACAGGCACAAGCAGCAGCGGGGTGGGGTAAAGCTTCCTCCCTCCCTCACTCACACAAACAACCACAAACAAACAGCCTTGCTGCCTGCCAGAAGGGCGCAACAAAAGCAACATTCACACACAAAATGGGCCGACCGACAACAAGAAGGCATCAAGCCTAAGGCAAGGCAAAAAACGAGCAACTTTTAGCATTGACCAACGCTTAGGTACATCCAATGCATCATCTACGGACCGGACCGGACCACTTGGCTGGGGCGAACGAATCAACAACAAAAAAACACACGCCGCCCCAACACAAGCAAGCCACCCCAGCGCTGCTCATCGACAACCAGAAACAACACAGAGCAAGCCAGACCAAACCAGACCAATCCCAACCCATCCCACAACAGCAGACAGACAGCCAGCCAGCCCGACACAGACCCAACGCGCTGAGAAGAGGCCTATCACAGCCTCCTCAGCACCACGCACGGGGGGCACTTCAAATCGGACTGACGGCCTCTGCCGCGCCCAACGACGCACCGCTGCCACTGCCCGAGCGCACGCTGCTGCGGCCCGAGCCGCCGGACCCGAAGCCCGAGCCGCCAGAGCCGGAACCCAACGAGCCGGATCCCGACCCCGACCCCGACCCAAACGCCGACCCGCTCTTGACGTGGAAGCCGGGGGGCGGGCCCCGCAGGGTGGTGGTGGTGGTGGTGGTGGTGGTGGTGGTGGCCGTGCCGGCCGACATGCCGTACGGGCTGCTGCTGCTGCCGCCGCTGCCGCCGCTGCCGCCGAGGAGTCCGCCGCCGCGGGTATAGTGGTGGGCGCCGACGGGCGCGCCGACGACGGTGCTCGCGTTGTTGAGGCTGTTGCCGCTGTCGTGGTCGTCTTCGTCGGTGGACTGTGTGAAGCCCGAGACGTCGCTGAGCATGGACGAGGAGCGGCCCCGCATCCGGTGAGGCCGCGGCGGGGTGCTGAGGGCGGCTTGCATTGGGGTCGAGAAGGTGGATAGCTGGGCGTGGGCCATGAGGGGCGTGGCGTGGGTGGACATGGGCATCGATACCGGTGGCCATGCAGGCTGCGGGTTGAACTGGGGGGCGGGGATGGTCGCCCAGGGCCCAGCGGACGTGAAGTGGTTCGGCTGCGGGCCCATGTCGTAGGTGGGCTCCTTTTGGAAGCTGGCGAGGTACTCCTGCATGTGGGCTGCCATGGCGTGGACTTGGGCTTGCTTGGTGGCGTTATTGAGGCGCAGGGCCTGGACCCTGTCTCGGAGATTCTGCTCGGCTCGCGCCAGTTCCGCGGCGAGGTTGGCGCGCTCTTGACGACGCCGCTCGGCCTCGTTTAACCCCCGGGCATTCGCATCCGTTATGCGCGCATGCTCGTCGTCAACCTTGGCGATGCGAGCAGCGATCTTGTTCCTCTTCGCCTGCAGGGTGGCCTTCTCCTCATCCAGAGCCTTGATCTGCTTGTCGATCGACGACTTGAAAGTCTTGAACGATGCCCGGGCCTTATCAAACTTGGCCTTCTCCGACGCCCACTCGTCATGCTTCGCGCGGTGCTCCTTGACCAGTTTCTCCGGTACTGCCTCGAGCTCCCTGAGCTGGGCCTCCAGCTCGCAGGTAGATTCCTCGGCACGTTTCTCCTGGATTTTGTTCTGGGCGATCTTCTGTCGCAATTTCTCGTCGTCACCCCCAGCAGTTTGAACGGCTGATGTGAGCTTCTCGATCTCTTTCCGGGTAGCATTGAGCTTCCGGTTATTGTCCTTCCGGACAGCCTTGAGGCGAGCCTTTTCGTCGGCAAGTTTCACCTCGGCTGCCGCGATCGAGGCTCGAAGCGTTGTGGCGGGGGAGTCATGGCGCGAATGTGACCGCGGCTTGGTTGTGGGCGCAGCTTCAGTGTCCTTGCTCTTCGCTGCGACGGTTCGAATGCTTGTCGAAAACAACACCTCACCCGTCCGTGTGCTGATGAACTCGCATTCGTAGTTGGATAGAGGGGTCAGACCATAAATGTCGCCGGTCCAACGCGTGCCCTCGTAGTTTTCCTCCTCTGGGTTCTCAATCGGGATAATTCGCGTTGGCTGCCAAATCGCCTTGTTGACCCGGACGTAGAATGGTTTGGAAGCATCGATCCCTTGATTGCTCTCTTCGAGAGGCACGTCGTCGTCGTCCTCAACGTCCGGAAAGTGACTGGTGTTAAAACAAACTTCGTCGCAACCGACGTAGCAGATCCATACTTGTTCAGGTTGGGTGTGAAAGGGCGCGTTACCAAGATTGTGAATGTCCGTGGCATTGGAGCCAGCCGACTCGCTTGCTGCGTGCGACAACTCGTACTCCTTGACCATGACAATCTTGGTGCTAGCAAGTGCGGCCCAGAGCGGCTGCTTGATCCTGACCTGGGCGCTCTGTTTCCTCCTTTTCTTGCTGGTGAGATGGGCCGCGCTTGTCTGTAGGTGAGCATCGCTGTCGGCCGCCATAAGGGCGACATCGGAACAACCTTCTCCTGGAAACGACACCGTCTTGCCAGACTCAGGGTCTAAAAGGCCCTGTGACTGCAAGTCCCGCCGCTCCCTGCGCAGATACCATTCTCGGATGCATCGAACAATGCCCTGTGTGAGGATGTGGATCGCCAAAACGCTCCTTACCCATCCGTAGGGGCCCTTCTTATCGAACATGCGTAGACTCGGCTCGGCGTCGGAAGATAGAAGACGGGTCGAGCCAAATATTGTTGTAAACCGAGACAGCCCATTCCACTTTTGAATCCAATGCGTCACGCCGACAATGCCAACACAGAGCACGATACCGGGGGTTGTTCCCTGCCGAGATGTGCCTCCGCCTCCTAACGTATACGAGATGACAACTTGAGCGAGATCCAGTATGAACTGCTGGACCGGCGCCCAGAGAAACAACCATATGAGCAACATGATAACATCCATCCAGATTAACGTCCACAGGGAGGGGATGCCCTGGCTGCCGTCAAAGATCTCGGTGATACTGAGACCCGAGCTGGTGGTCACCGGAGGGACAAAAGTGAGAACAGTGAAGAGCATGTAGATGGTGGCCAAGACAGCGGGCGACGCCTGCATGAGGATGATCAAGATGGCAATGGTGTCGGCCAGGGGGCAGGACCGGAGCACGGTGATGGCAAGATCCAAGGGGCCCGGGTCGCGGTGCACATTGGTATTCTTCGCATCGTTGACATCGATCCGCCGATGGGTTGCTTCGGAGACATCATGCGCGGAAGGGGCGGGGAGCGAATCGGTGGACGAGGACTCAGAATAGGTGCCCAGAGAACCGCGGCGCAGCAGCTCGGTCGCTCGGTGCTCGGGGGGCATGTCGTCGAGATGTGTGGCGAAACCATTCAGAGTAGTGGGAAGAGGGGGGACGGGCGGCACCGAGGCGCTGTCGACGGCGAGCTTGGAGCCGTCATCAAGCTGGGTTTGGCTCTTTCGCTTGATGACGCGCTTGCCGGGGCCTACCAGGCCATTCTCGTGGCGGGTGTCGCGCTGATTGCTCGCTGCCTGGTGTCGCTTTGCTGAATTTGACGCGCGAGGCATGCGCATCCAGTGACCCAGAAGCGAGTTCTGGGCCAGGCCAACGAGGGGGATGGGGGGGTCGAGGCGGCGGGCGTGGTGGGGGAGAGGGAGGGAGTGCACAGAGGCTGACTTTCCCCCAAAATTCTAAGCGATCACGTCCTCTCCTTTCCTCCTCGGGCGACGGCCAAGAAGTCGTACACGATACCAGTCGGCCTGGGATCGCACATGTGGGATTCGGGGGTATATACTTTGTAGCGGGGAGGTTTCGCCTTGACACAGTTGTCGTGGCAGCGGGACCCAGGAAATGCCGTGCTAAAATGCTGGGGGGTCCGAATCGAGGCGATGCAGTCGGTTGGTTGTGTTTAAAAGGAGAAAAGCGGATTTTTGGGTTGGCGGCTGACGGGAGGATTCGAGCACAGTGTCGGTTCCATTCCAGCGCACCTTGGCTGGGACGGGGTGCTGCGGCGTGTGCGGGTCAAGGAAATGAAATGAGTTTCTACACTACAAGGTCGCTCCAGCACTGTGGGCCTGTGGCAAGCCGTTCAGCGCCGATGCAAGGTACATGGCGGTACAAAATGCAGCGTCCCATTTCGACATGAAAAGTGAGTCAGGGGACGGGCATCCGGTCAAACCAAGCAAATCCAATCCGAGCAGCCCAGTGAGGCTCCAACTTTGATCCACCGGGGCAGTGAGATCGGATGTCTTTTCCAACGCCTCCCGAGACCTCGACTCCTCGAGTGTTCGAGTCTCGAGTCTCGAGTCTCCCACAGTAAGGACCGCCCCGGCTCGTTGGGCCGTTGATCCTGCGGGCAATCCATGCTTCCATGGAAGTAAGCCTCGAATGGACTTTGCCGCGCAGTGGTGGGGCCACCTTGATTTTGAAGTTTGTGGATCGTGAAAAAGACGGTTTTGGTGGATTTCAAGTTCGCTTCAAATTTCTAAACGGCCATCGGCATTCTCGCCAGCGGCTGGACACGCACCAATCGCAAGGTTCCTGGGGAGTCAAACTGTTCGAAGGTGGTAACCATTACCCAAGAAACGACCCCCAAACCGGGTGAGAAAAGTATGCGACCCCCACAGACCTCTGCTCGATTCCCTCCCGATTCACGCAGCCGTCAAATCAATCTCTTACACCAACTACACAGTATACAAGGCAAGCAGCGTGTTATCGGAAGGAGTGCCGAATGAGACGCAGCGAACCAACCCCGAATCCATATGGCGGGATGCGGGGGAGCGACTTCACCACGCCGATCACTGCTTGATATCGGCCGATAATCCAAACGGCCTTCAGGCTCCCCGCGCAGCCACCGATATCTCCTGGTTTTGACATACACTGCATGAGATTTTCAGGCGCCGTCGAGGGCGGAATTCTGACAGGAGGCCGTGAGCGCAAGCCCACAAGGCAAAAAAGCGGCTCCACATCGACGAAGACCCTTCAACAGAGACTTCAAGCCCAGAACCACTCAGGCCAAGGTTTGATCCTGGTCCATGGCAACCACGAGATATGCGCTTTGCGTTTCTTGGCCCGTCTTGTAACGTATGTAGGAGGCCTTTTCTGTTTTGATCACATCTCCATGCGCATCGCACCACATGCCTAGGCAACCCTCACAAACCCCTCAGTGAGGAGGACCTCATCTCGAAACTCAAGCACGCAGACGCAGTCGTCGATCTCTTTCGGCATTTGAACCACGCCCGGCCGCCCGGATTGGCCAGACTGATCTCTTGGCCCACCGACCCCGGCATTCAGGATGACCACCTTCCTTCTCGGTCCAAGTGCGACATATCCTTGAACGAGAATGAGCAAACGATGGAAGCCCGTGGCGCCAGCTTCACAGACCCAAGCGACTCGCGTGCTCACGCGTGGTTCCCTTTCGCCCAGCGACAAACATCAGACCAGTGCAGCGGTTGTTGCTCCGCAAATCCCGCAGTCAGACCACGGGGCGGAGCTTGGCGATCGTCTCTGAGCCAAGCTTTCGCATGCAACCCGCCCGAGTTTCTCTTCTTTCGTCCCGCTGTGATTGGTTCTGGCCGTTTGGCTTGTGGAGTGCAGGGTAGCATCGAGAGGACGGCTTGATCTCCACAGTGCTTGTGCGTCCAGATTTTCTCGTCCGCTCCAGCGAGACACCGAGCTCACTCCGCTCGTTCTCCGACAGCCGTCACAAGTCACCAAATTGAAGTTATCATGGGGCTGCTTGAGCGGGCGTCGCCGGTACCAAACTCTTCACGATATCACATCTCCTCGGACAATGACCTTTCCTTGTTGAGCCACGTGGGTGATCGCGTGCTTTGCCGCCGTCTCAAGACTATCAGGCACCCTTGACCTATATCGATCCTAGCATAAGAGGGGCGAATCAACACCCTCCCCAGCACAAGCGTCCAACCGTGTGAATCAATGTGCTTTCCGGCTGGACGAACCACTCCCAAGTCTCACGCAGGCTTGCTCTATCCCTCTAAGAGTCCACGCCGTCTATGCACACAACCAGCCACCCACCTCAGCCCATTGAACCCATCATTGACTCCCCTTTGAACCCCCCATATCCTCGACCGCGTCTGGTCTATTCCAAGTCTCGCTCTCCAGCCGATCCACGGCCGTGTACAGCCCAAATATCCGCGACCTCGCCTGCAGCATGGCCTGCTCCTGCAGCTCCCAAGTCTCCTGAAACCTCTCCAGCATAAACCCGGGCATGCTCGTCTTGCCGGCCATTTTGTAGTCGTAGACGACGATATCCTCCTCCAGCCGGCAAGCGACACGCCTATGGCGGTGCGACAGCACCACGCAGTCGAGGTAGAAGGAGCTCGGCGCTCGGCTCCCCCTCGGGCCGGGTCCGCAGCTTGTGGTAGACGGAGATCCGATCGGGGTACACCATCGGCTGTATGTCTGGGGTTAGCCACCTAGCCATCTTAGCAAGCCATTGGGGATAGATAGGCTTGATACCTAACTATCTGCCAGAGAGAACAAGAGTCGAGAAGGGAGACGTACAAACTTGAAGTCCGCCTTGAGACTGCGCATGATCAACCCCGTCGAGATGGGCGTCATCAGCTCGCGCCACTGCTTGTGGTGCGCCGGGTCGACGTGTACGGCGAAGTTGGTGATCCAGTTCACCCGCGCCGACTCGGCGAAGCGATAGTAGTTGACATTGTTAACGTGCGCCTGGTGGGCCAAGGCGTGTCAGCCCCGTGTCATCAAGTTGTCGTTGTCCCCTATCCCGTATAGAATAGAACATGAAGAGGGGCGGGATACCCACGAAGGTGTCCATCTCGCCCCAGGCGATCTCTCTGGCCTCCAGCCCACGCCGGCCGCCCGTCAGAAAGCCCTCGCTGCTGGCTAGTAAATCCCTCCACTCGGTCGCTATGACGCGCAGGACGGCGGCCGCCTGCGAGACTTGCTGGGCGTTGCAGCCGAAGGCGAGGCACTTGCCGACGCGCGCGGGCAGCTCGCTGGTCCATCGTGGCGGAGGGGGCGACAGTGGGGTTTCCCGGGGTTGGGGGGGTTGCTTTGCGGGCGCTGGCGGGCGAGGCGGCGGCGGCGCGAGAAGGGCCGGCGCACGCAGAGGGGTTGTGCACGGCGACATGCGCTCCCCGCGAGCCTTGTGGTGGTTGAGCGCATGGCCATGGCTGATTCGGGCGGGGGGTTGGCTGGTGGGTCAATTGATCCAATTGTCGTTACATGGGACAGAAGGGACTGTGACACGAAGTTAGGTGCTTGTCTCAACGTGCGCAACTACAAGATCGAAGCAAGCACGCAATCTGTCGTCGGCTATCCGTCGTCGGTCATCATCGGCTTCGGGCCCTCGGCAGGGCGGAGAGCGAGGACGAGTGGAGGTGGGGCTTAACCTCCGGGTCATGTCAACCGGCGTTACTTCGTACCATCGAACTTCACACTGCAGGCTGCGAGGACGGGAAATAAATTCAAGTTTATTGCGAGGACCAAATAATGGAAATTGCAAGTTCTTTATTGTACATACATGGAGTGAGATCATATGCTCGAGTATGAGCAGGTGTAGCTGCAAATTTACACTGTTGTGCTGCGCCAAGACTCAATTGAGCATGTCGTCACTTGTGCAACTGCTGCAACTCTAAATGAAGCCTCGAGACTCAACACCAAATGCCACCATCCGTGCTCCGGACCGGTATCCAATATATCCACGACTGCTACGACTGCAAGTCATGAACAAGATATAGCACAGACATCCCACCCAGCACAATGCCTCCGGCCCCGAACCCCGAGCTGAGACAGCAGGTCATTGCCATTTACAAGCGCAAGTCATTCCTCTCCCTCCATGCTCTAAGTATTCACCCAGGATATCAAGGGGCCATCATTACTTACACGCTCATCGCCAACAGAACTCCTCTACCTCGGTCGTGACTACCCCCAGGGCTACGACTTCTTTCGCCCGCGACTGCATCGAGCCTTCATGGCCAACGCGAACCTCACCGATGAGGGGGCTATTCGGGCGGGCATCGCCAGAGCCGACTTTGTCAGGAAAGGTAATGTGGTCATTGCGATGGGTTTCTTTCCCATGTTCTTACGGCAATCAGCGAGACGGGACGAAGTACTTTGGTGGGAACCAGAACGAAGCTAACAGCATGGGCCCTCATGATAGAGATCGAAGCGCTGTAAGTTACTGGGGCTCTCTCGCGATTTCAAGAAACACATCTCCATACATAATTGAGTGTTCCCTACTCTCCCATCCATTTCTCGCTGATCAACCATCCAGGTACTACCTCAAACGCTACCGCACACTGCGAAAGAGATACGACGGAGCATAGGATATCGAACGCGCCCACGACCAAACTGTAAATAGATAGCAAGCGAGTACAAGCGGTAGTACAACATTCACAGATCCATGTATACATCAGAACTCATGACCCGTCCCTTGCTCCCACGAAGCAGAAAGGAGCCCAATGAACCAGCCACCAGACCCCCAGCCACCTCGCGAGGTACAACAAACAGTAACAAGCCAAAACCCAGCCTTTCTTTCCTACACACACAACCAAAAAGTACACGGGGAACCATCACATCACCTCTTCCTCGCCCACCACGCCCCTATCTCCAAGCACTCCCCCCCAACTCGTGCCATTCTCCCTCACCAAATCATTCATCATCTTCCCCATCCACGCATCCCACTCATCCTGACTCTTCCCACTCGCCTCCCGCAGCATCGGCTCCATCGCCTGAATCATCTGCACCACCGTGACCAACGCCGTCCTCCGCAACGCCGCCGCCGCCGGCTCCAACCCCCTCCCCGCATTCCCACCCGCACCACCATCCTTCACACTCCCTCCACTCCCACCACCCCCATTATTCCCACCCCTCCTCGCCCCCGTCTCAATATAGCTCTTCCCATCCTTAGTCACCACGCCGCCCACCCCCTCCCGCTCCCACCGAATCTCCGACAGCGGCACGGCCAGCCGCCGCGACCCCAGCCCCGCCAGCACCTCGGCCTCCTGCAGCAGCAGCGGGCCGACCACGGTGCAGGGGACCGCGCACAGCGCGCGCGCTTCGAGGGCGCGGGATGCCCACCCGTTGTACTCGACGAGGAAGTTGTTGAGGGGCGTGGAGAGGGGCGTGTTGGTGGTGATTACGTAGGCGCCGCCGATGGTGTTGTTGTTGGGGTTGTTGGGGTCGGAGTCGCCGTTGCTGGTGGTGGTGGTGCTGTCGTGGTTGGTGGTGTGGTTGTGGTAGGGGTCGGAGGGGGAGGCGGTGGTTGTTGTGGGGGAGGGCGCGGTGACGTCAAAGTCGTCGCCTTCGGTTGGGCCGGAGGTGGTGGCGATGTCGGGGACGTGCGGGCGGAGCATGCGCACCAGGTGGTCGGTCTCCCAGACCTCGATCGTGCCGCCCGGGGTGAGGATGCGGATGTATTCTTCTATGTAGGCTTGCTGCATGTGCGTCGGCGTGACGAGCGTCATGTCCTTGACCATGAGGAAGTCGAAGCTGTTGTTGGGGAAGGGGAGTGGCAGCTTGCGGATGTCGTGCTGGACGAAGCGCCAGTTCATGGACTTGTCCGGTCGCGTGTCGGCGGCGGCGTCGCTAGAGGCTGCGTTGGGTGGCAATGCGACGATGTCGACGCCCGTAAAAGAAATGTCCTTGTGCTGCCCGCGCGCTTCGTAGTGCTTGTAGCACATGGTGCTCCAGAAGCCCGTCCCGCAGCCGATTTCCAGTATCCGCGGTGGCGGTTTGTTGGCAAAGGCCGGGGCGCAGATCGGGCGGCCGAATAATTGCATCAGGAGCATCGTCTTCAGGCTCTGGCGGTGCAGCTCTTCAAGATCGACGGGTAGGGGGTATGGTAGAGAGGGGTCGGCGAGGTAGGTCCGCCCGCTGCGGACGACGAACGGTCGGTGCAGGTACGCCGAGTCGGTATGTTCGCTCGAGTACATGGTGCGATTGCTCGTCGTGGTGGCGCCGGAAACGCTGGATATGCTTTCGGCCCGAGTGCCACCGTTCCCGGGCATCCTGCCCGTGCCGGACTCTGCATACGACGAGAGCATACCGCCGTGCTGCGCGCGGCGGTCGGGAAATGCAACAGCAGCGACGACTGCGCCGGGATTGCCGAAGGTATGGCCGGCCGTGGTGGCGGTTGCGGAAGCCGGGGTGCGGGCCGAGGCCGGTTCGGAATTGCTGCCGGCGCCAAAGTGTTTGGAGGATGTTTCGGCTGTGTTGAGTCGGGGCGTCGCCGGCAGCTGCTTGTCCTGGAAGTATTTGAATGACGAATGCATCCGTTCTCGTTCGCGGGTCGAATTACGGCGGGCCGCGGGGTGGTGTTGGTGGTGTTCGTCGTGGTGTTCGGCGATGGAGTCCGCACGGTCTCCCAAGCCCGTCGACGTCACTGCTGCTGCTGCTGCTGCTGCCCCTGATGAGTCGCCGTCGGCACCGGCCGACGACTGTTGCTGCAGCCACCCAGCGCTGCTGCCGTGCGGCGGTGGTGCCTGGTGCTCAGTGCGCCCGCCGCCGCTGCTGCTGGTGCTCGCACTGTTGGTCCTGGCGTGGCCCGGAATGCGCGAGCGCTTCTTTGTCGCCGGCGCAGATGTCGAATTGGAGCGAGTCGGCTTCGAGCGCGAATGCGGCGAGCCCTCGACTTCATAAGTGAGGTAAGGGGCCTTGGCGGCTGCGTATCCCGAGAGAAACTCCATTTTGACCCCAAGCGGTTTTTTTCCTCAATGCCACCCGCCAGGGGTTGCTGCGGCCGGGAACGGGGGTCAAAGGTGCCCCGCCCGGGCTGTCCGCGGCGCGTGTTCCGGTGCGTTGGGTGCTGCAGCTCCAGTGGGATGCTGCCGCTCAACCGCCCCAAAAAAACCCAAAACCACGCACCAAGCCGCTCCTTGCAGCACCCTCCGGCCGCCTCGTTTGGGGGGCCTGCGCTGCCGGCAAAAAGGCGCGGAAATTGGTTTTATCCCCTTCGACGTCAGACCTTCCGCATTCAAAGCTAAAGCCCGCCCGAATGCCCCAGGATTCCCAGTCACCGTGCCTTGGATTCCTGAGAAACCCCCCGAGCCGATCAACGGGGTACCGGGGATGCCGACTTGGACACCGCCCCTTTCTAGAAGCTTTCCGTGTTTGGGCCGGTTTCGTGTCCCTGTCACCTCCGGCTCCTGCCCTGGCTTGCCTGCTCGCCTGGATTTCAACCGGTGAGAGCTCGCTTTTTGGCGGAATTGCTGGCCGCCCTCTCCTGCTGCCCCTGCGATCAATCACTCGGGACTCGCAACTTTGCCAACTCGCCAACTCGCCAATTCGTCAATTCGCCCGTGTGCCCACTCGCTCAGCCCCGGCTGCAGCTCTTGTCTGTGACAGCACTCCCTGTGACAAGGGCTGAGGTGATAGGTCGTACCAACTAGGTGGAACTGGAACTGACAAAAGCAATGGGCGGCCAAAGAGGTGCAACGGGGTGGTATCTCGCAGTTGGGGGTCACCCGCTTGGAGCGAATCCGTGTGGTGGGGGAACTGGCCTGTCGATTGTCTGATTAGGAGTTGCTGTCCCGTGTGTAAGTGCTTCTTTCGACTCCTTAGACTTTTTCAACCTTCTCCAGAAGCTTCGTCATGGCCAATTCAACGACCCCCTCAACGGCTGAAAAACAGCAAGTTTCCAAGTTGCCGGAGGTCGTGACGCATAGCGCGAACTGGCAAGTCCAGACTTTTTAACGCTCCACGCTTTCGCGGCCACGGTCGGCTCTCTGGCTCCGCGACCCGGCCGAGGCTCTAAAAGAGCGACAGCGGGAGGACCTCGAAGGCACCCTCAGCTCTTTTCTGTTTTCTGAGTGGGGCTCAAGCGGCCGTGACGGTCCGAAGCAAGTAAAACTCGCGATATCCCACGGGCGGTTGGCTGTACTTGCAGTTTATTTTTGGAGATTGTTGGAAGTCGAAATGAAATAAGGAGGCGAAAAAGACCGCAGCGCTTGACAACTTGACCGGTCTAGACAGTCTCGTTGGTACCTAGGTAGGCACGCAGGACAGATCCAGGAAAACTGGTTCGGGGGCGCGAGACGGCGAGACACCAAAGGTGGGCAAGCCGACATTTAGGAACACGACACGGAAGCCAGAAAGTTCGATCGATGAAAGTCGCCGATGGCACGGCCTTTCCATTCGTCTTATTCCTTGCCATGCGAGCATTTTGCTCGAGATGGCCCCATGATGGTCTCTTAGCCTTCCCCCAGACTTTCCCCGATTCTGGCCGTTCCAGCTTCACTTGGGCCATCCCTTGCACCGCCCGCAACCAAGTGGTGTGGAGCACATGGTGGTGAGGGCACTTTGACCTTCCCCGCACTGCCATTGCTCCCCGTGGATTGGCTGTTTCGGAAGACCATTGCCTCTCTCCCCTGTTCGGCGCCGGTCCCAGGAGGCCACGGACGCTGGACAGAACGCCATCCGGTGTCCCCATTGGCTTTATTGGCCAGGCACATGCTCCTGAGGGGCGAGGCCATGGCTCTGGCAGGCATCAAGCTGGCCTTTTGGACCGCCGAGCGTCTGACCGGTCGCTGCACCGGCGGGCATCGTGCCCAAAACGCTGCGAACCATACTCTTTTCGAGGCTCGGCGGCCGCCATCCTGCGGTTGATGATCCTTTACCGTGACTGGTGTGCGAGGTATGCACGAGAAGGTGCGAGAGAGTGTGGGAAGCTGCAGATGCGAATGGTTATTTCCAAGTTCGGAGCCAAGTCGGAAATGTTGCCGAACAGCCCAAAGAACTACACAGTACCGGTGGCTTGCATCGCTCTGGAACGACGGCCCTCAGGGAATGGAGTTTGCTGATGTCGGATGCCATGGCTCCATGAAATGCCATCTCTCCATTCTGGGCAAACGTGTGGAGAGATCTTGTCAAGTACCTTGCCACTATGCAAATTTATGCATGGCAACGATAACCCCAGAAATAGCTCAACCAACCGAAGTCTAGAGTGGTCGGCGAAGGACAGAGCGAGAGCACATGATTCTCGTGGGAGCATTATCCAAGGAGTTATAACCATGGTCAATATCAGAAGAATGCGACACTTCCAAGACGCTGCTCACAAGGGAGGGGTAAACAGGCAAACACCCCTTGAGAATGAAACGTAAAGCATAAGGTGAAAAAAAATACGATATTACGGACACAGTCACTCGGAGGTCTTTTAAAAATGAAGAGACGGCCACTTGGGACTGTGTCATTTTCAACAATGTGTCTGGGTACCTAACTATGATATGATTTTTCACGTACATAACCCCAACCCTAGCGCCAACTACTTCCTTTTCCTCTGTTAGATCCATCCATTCAATCCAATCTAATCAACGATGTCGTGAAATTTACTATCCGGGAGCCTCTAGATCGCTTAAAAATGCTCTACTTCATAAAATTGACACCTGCAGAATCCTTTTTCTTTTCTTTTTTCTTTTTCAGCCTCGTAACCTCGACGAGCGCTGCGCCTGCCACACGTCAAAATCGCATCGTCCCAACGGCCTTCTGAAAATGAAATCATGTTTTCGACCATTATTTTGATTTTGACCTCAAGTTGGCAATGATGTGACTCTTGTGGTTAACTACCTGTCCTTGCTTGGTCTGCTGCCTTCGCCGTTTTCCTTTTTGTTTCCCAGGCCAGCTCATGTTCAGAGACTCGGGCGCACAGATCACACAGAGAGGCACCTGCCAAGGCGCGAGGCTGAAGATGGTGAATCACGCATCACGTGGATCCTACCCCACGTCAGGCCAGCCTGATTCGTGGCTGCAGGTGGGAGCTGGGCTGGAACGAAAAGGAGGCTCGGGAGGCCACAACCAACGGAGGCGGTTGACGCATTGAGCGAGCACCCACCCGACCACGAGTTACACTGGTTATCCACCACCACGCCATATCGTTCCTCTAGAGTATACATTCTCCGGCTCGAAACCATTGCCATCATTGCCATCAAAGGTTGCTACACGTGTTTTTTACATAGGTGAGAGAAACCCAGCGGTGTAAATTTCGTTGGAACCCGGGAGAGCAGAGCACGAATTACCTAGTCGTCACCGCGATTCAGCTGCTGCTGCTGCTGCTGCCCGTCGCCCTTTTGTCTCCATCCATCGATCGTGCCCAGGGCCCACATTCAGTCTCACCACTCCCCTTACTCCCACCACCACATCACGAGCACATCCAACACCACTACCACTGAATATCTTCCGAACTCCATGGTCAATTCGCTGACTTACGGCCCTGTCCCCTTCATTTCCTAGACTTGTAGCCCGAAGTACCGAAAACAAAGAAAACGAAAAAAATACAAAAAACCCACTCCGACAGCGAGCATCTTTTCCTCCTCTCCCAACGAGTGTGTGCGACCACATCACAAACCCTCCCCAAGAGCCGAACGACGACGATCTATCTTCGACCGGCCCCCTCCACACTTCAAGGTGGTTGTCTGCTAGTTATCGGCATCTCCCACGTGCCGGCGCATGGCCTTCTGAGCCAGCTGCAAACATCACAACACCGGGTGCAACAGCAGCGCGACTAGCACATGCATCTATGCACGACAAACCTTTTGCTGTGCCCCATGCGAACTCTGTTGCTTCGAGCTATCAACCCACCGCGTCCCCCATATCCTCGACCTTCTTCGAGCCCATCTCCCCGCCTCCCCACCTCCCCGCCCTCAGACCCGCTACACCTTGGATCGTAGATGGCAGATGGTCACCGCCCTCTGTCACACGCCTTTTCGAACCCACTTTCTTCCAACGGCGCCTCTAGCGACCGAATCGCCAACGAAGGTCTTTCTAAACTCTCTACTAACCCATCTCGCTACCGCCCCGCCAGCCTCACATTCCAAAACACCCCCCCACGGCTCCGCGAGCCAGAATCCGCGCGGCATGTACGGCCAGAACCACCAGCAAGGGCACAACTCCCGCATAAATGGGGCGCCGGGACGGCAGCAGACGATGCCGATGTTGTACAACTTTCTCGCAGCAGTCGGCTCACTCTCACTAGGCCCATGCGCAGCACTCACTAGGGCATACAGCAGGACCATGGCGGCGTCTCATCATGGGCCATTCGGCTTCTCGAGCGCGTCTTACGAACGCAGCTCCTTCTTCACAGCTGCAGACGCACACATCGTCTTCCGGGAGTCAGAACAACACTACGATACTGGGCGGAGCAGCTGCGGCTGCACAAGGAAGCGGAACGGGCGCATGCCACTATGACTGAGCAACACCAACCGCACTTCTATGCGCGGCTCAAGGCGGCCGAGAACCGCGGTATCGGCGGCGCCGCTCTAGGCAGCGGTGAATCCGGGCCCTCGGTCGACGGCGAGGACGACAGGAGAAGACCGTGGAGCCTAGAAAAGACGAACAAGAGGCAGGACTGGTACAACCTCGACATGAGCGGCCAGGGGCTGCGCGTGCTGGCGCCGCCCCTGTTCGCCTACGAGTTCTTGCAAGAACTCTATATCGCGTCCAACCGACTCACCTATCTCCCCGCCGAGATTGGCCGCTTGCGTCATCTGCGGCACCTGGACGCGTCGAACAATCTCATTCCTCGGAGCTGCCTCCTGAGATCGGCATGTGCACCAACCTGAAGTCGCTCTACCTGTTCAATAACCAAATCCGCAACCTACCCTATGAATTTGGGTCCCTGTACCTCTTGGATATGCTCGGTATCGAAGGGAATCCCCTCGATCCGTCCCTTAAGCAGGAGATCATGGCAGGCGACACAAAGAAGTTGGTTCATAAACTCCTTACGGACGCCCCAGGTTAGTCAATCCCTTCCGATAAGGTACCCCTGGGCCTCGTCACTGACCTTCTCCATTCTCACAGTACCGATCCCCCCTATCGACCGAAAGCCGATCGTTATCCAAGAAGATGTGTCGTCGACCCTCGAGCGGGTCAAGGTCCTCTCCTGGCAATATCCTGTGCGACAAATTCGCCACCTCTACGCTATACGGCTACACTCCGCCTCCTGCGCTCCATTGGGTTTACCGCAGCGAGAGGATTCTACAGGAGCTCCACGAGAGGGATGCGGATATCTTGTGCCTGCAAGAAATCGCGACCGATGTCTTCCGCGACTTCTTCAGTCCGGAACTGGCGCAGGACGGCTATAAGGGGGTGCACTGGCCGAGGCCTAAGGCCAAGACGATGGCTGAGAAGGACGCCCAAGCCGTCGACGGTTGCGCCGTCTTCTACAAATCCAGCAAGTGGATCCTGCTCGACAAGCAACTCCTCGACTACGCCAACATTGCCATCAATCGTCCAGACATGAAGAACCAGCACGACATCTTCAACCGGGTAATGCCCCAAGGACAACATCGGCCTGATCTGCCTGTTCGAGAGCAGCCAGACCGGTGCGCGGATGATCGTCGCCAACACCCCACTTGGCCTGGGAACCAACGCTTCCCGATGTAAAGCTTGTGCAGACAGCCATCATGATGGAAAACATTACGAGACTCGCCGAGAAATACTCGAGGTGGCCTGCTCTCAAGGACAAGAAAATGATCCAGCTGCCGCTCGAAAGAAGGGGGAGCAGCGCGCCGACGTGCCCGAACCCGGGCCGTCACAAGAATACCGCAACAACACCGACATTCCACTGGTCGTCTGCGGGTGACTATAACTCCACATACGACAGCAGCGTGTACGAACTGCTCTCCATGGGCCGCGTCGCCCCGAACCACAGCGACTTTGGCGACCATCAGTACGGCAGCTTCACGCGCGACGGCATCGAGCACCCCTTCAGCATGCGCTCCGCCTACGTCCACCTAAAGGGCACTCCCGAGGACCTGCCCTTCACCAACTACGTCCCCGGCTTCGCCGAGGTGATCGATTACATTTGGTACTCGACTAACACGCTCGAAGTCGTCAGCTTGCTCGGACCTCCGGACCGCGACCACCTCAAGCGCGTCCCCGGGTTCCCGAATTACCACTTCCCCGCGGACCATATCCAGATCATGGCTGAGCTCGTCATCAAGGCGAGGAAGGACAAGAAGATGGTTCAGGAACCTGATTTTGGCTCAGGGAGCGGTGATCGGAGGGGCTGATGGTAGTCCCCCCGGTGCGTCGCCGTTCTCTTCGACGTCAATCTCCTCGTCCTTCCGTATCCTGGGTCTGGTCGGTTTGGTTTGGCTTGAGCGTTTGGTTGGCTGGCGGGAATGGTATGCGGGCAATGAAGGGGGCGCGTCCATAGCACACGGGTTGATTTGGGTTCACCGGGCTGGGTGACTGGTGGGCCAGTCAGTTGAATGGAAGAAGGGGGAGAGGCAGTTCGGCCGGTCGGCTTGTCTCGAAGCTTGGCAGCTCGGAGCGGAGAGGGAAAGGGCAAGGGGAAGGTGCAATATGGACGTGGGTTCTGAGGGGTCATGTAGGAATATATTGCCGTTGTTTTTGTCGTTCCTACATGTATCTGCTTTGCTGCCATCTCTTGTGGGTATCTATTGGCGCTTGTCATGGTATGTGCTCCTTGACACCCACTTGCTTCCTTTTACGTGGGTGCTCACATACTGTGAAGAACAGACGAGATGACTGCTAAGTGGCCCAAAACAATAAATTTCACCTTTCCAGCAATTCTATCCCTTCCTCCTCGAGGATCGCCCCAAGGCCTGGTTGGAGTGCTAAGCCCGGCTCTAGCTCGCAGATATCTCCGACGGGGACATACAAATTTGAGATACTCCCAACACCCACCATGATCGCCTCCCACCACACGCTTTTTTTCGTGTCATGGTCTCCGCTTTCAGCGTCGGCCTCGAAAAGTACCATGTATTCCCGCCTCCATCCCAAAACTACAGCCGAACTCCGCTTATACCAACTAGATCGGGCATCCCCCTCGCCACCGCCCAAGAGCAATGAAGCTCTCCTAGATCTAGATCCAATCTCGGCCCCTGACCACGACCACCTTGTTGGGAGCCCAAACCTCGATGACCTCGATCTGGCTGCACAGTCCAGCGAAGGACCGGCGGCTACCCCCGGTAACGAAACGGTGCTGATGATGCTGCTGCTACTACGCCTACTGCCGTCCATCACAATCCTCGTTGCACTGGCACCCGGGCCAGCCGCCATCCCAACCACATGACTTGCGCTGACCTCACTACTGCCATCCTCCACGTCACTCGTGGCTCTGACATCACCACTCTCACTTCCATCCCTGGCGCTCGAACCTCTACTCCGACTCTCATCCCCAACAACTCCACCGCACCTAGCATTCCCCCTCTCACCACCCCCAACACCCACGCACCCAACACTCCCACCACTAACCCCCCCACAACCCTCTCCGCCACAACCCTCTCCCCCTCCATCTCTCCCGCCATCTCTCTTAGCATTCGGGCCTAACAGCTGTTAGACCGCCGTTTCTTTCACATACGCCGCACAGTCTCGGACGGGTGCATACCACGATCGATGAGGCAGACGAGCACCAGCGCCTAACTTCGAGAGTTGCTCGTTCAGGTCTTGCCAGCCGATGCTCGGTTACACAACCACATCCATATCATCCTTGTTAAACCTCGGATGATCTTCTCCATATAGGCCATAATAACGCTGATGCCAGCTAAACGGAGCCGAAGAGTTCCCTTCAAAACTTCGAGCTCCCCTGAATACGG